TCCATCCACCTGTCCACCTAACTTGTCCTGTCGACTCAGTGATCCTGGTACAGTCTTTAAACACCTGTACTCTGTACTCCGATCAGATACTCTGAGGGTCCTTCTAACTGTACTTTGCTGGGGGCCTCAGAAAACTTTTCTCCGTCCCTGACGGATTACGATGGCGGACACTTCTGTCAACAACAGCCGGATGTGATAGTTACCTTTCGGACAGCTGAAACTCCACATCGATTCTTCCCACAAAATCTTCCCACGGTCCTGCACCTGCTCTGCTGGGACTCGAACATGTCAGCGCTGCGAAGGTCGACACATCCAGAGTCTGCGAAACCTCCTGGAACCTGGAGGAAAACTCGTTGTAGTCGATGAATCCGTCCTCGTCCGCGTCGAACCGGTCGAACAGTGTCCTGATCTCGGATTCCGGGACGTTGAGTTCTCGACAAACCGCGGTGAAATCCCCGAACTCGATCCTCCCGGATTTGTTCACGTCGCAGGCGGAGAAGAGTCGCATGAGACTCGGTCGGTCCATGGTCGACGGCGGTTTAGGAAGAAACATATACAAGTACAATAAAAGTTAAAAGTTGTTTCCACCTAAACTGGCCCACGATGACGATGAGTGTTTGGTCTGGGTCGTTAATCGGGAGTCTCCGATTGGCCCAGGTCCTGGTGGAGGAGGGTCTTCAGGTCCATGGTCCGGCAGCAGGAGCTGAGATGATCAGCTGTTCTCAATGACCATAATCATTCAAACCGAAGCCAACTTCTGTTTGTCTTCTAGGTGTGTGTGTGTTCCTCGGGCTGCTCCTGACTCCACCCTCGGATAAACGTTGAAAAACTAAGTCAAATAAAGCAGCCAACTACTGCTGAGCAGCAGCAACAGTCCGTAGAGTAGAGCAATGTGGAATTATATTTGTGTTTGGCTCATTTTTATTCCGAGAAAGTTAATGATCAAACACAGGAGGGTAACTATTAAAATAAACTAACCCAACCTACCAGAAACTGACGTTCCCT